GCGGGGGTACAACCTCCCCGCGGTATAAGCGATTGGCCCGGTATCAACCGCGCCCGGTATATCAATTTGTCCGGAGGTTATATAAATAGCCTATTTATGATGTCTCACGCCCACGTCAACTGCGACGACAGCACTCACACACGCGACCGTTACATTATTGTACGCATTGTATACGCGTCATATGTATATACTCACACGCGTGCCGTCTTATTTCCGAACGTACGTCGCGTGAGACACATTATAAAGTTTTACGCGGGCGCGCGCGCCACCCCGCCGCCGCCGTCCTGTCATCCCCGCCGGCGCGACGGCGGTGGATCCACTACACGCGTCGCGACGACGGTTTTACGACCTCCCCCCGACCCCGCGCACTCGCCGCTTTAGACTCGGTTTTTCACTTAAGTCACGCGGTCGTATTATTATTATTATTATTATTATTATATATTATGCTGCAGTTAATCGGATAGTTGGATAATAAAAACGACTGCAAGTATTTATATAATACTAGAGAGACGACGACTAAGACGATGGCGAGCGACTGAATGGTCAAAAAATATATATAATATTTTAATTATGTTATGCGCTGCACACGGTTTCTCCGCGAGTCGCTGCCGAGAGAGAATTGAAAATCGTACACAAAACGACGATGGAACGAATCAATCGTGATTTTACAGGCGATGAAAACGACGTAAGTACTTACGCCTAATGAGATCTATAAATAATCGTTTATAAACTATCTTTTTTCTACGATAAACATTTTTTTTTTTTTTTTTTAGAAAAATATTTGTCAAATAATTACCATGGCAACCTGATGAAATTTTAGAATTCCGACGCAATGTAATACTATCAGACATTACGATTAATCATTATTATATTATGACCATAATGTAATGATAAATAAGTAAGCACACCATCCTTATCCCTAAATCTATACACTAAACCGCACTTACGATATTGTTGACTCAAACCGATGACCGGACGACCGTTCACAAATAGCGCACAGTACTCGTGGAGATTTAACACAAAAATTTAACGCACCGTCAAATCCAGGGATGGATGGGTTGGAGTTAACGTAAATTTATTGTTCGTACTAGAAATTTGTCGTATACAAAAGTATAATAAGCTTACATAAGTCGCATAACCTTTTTGTCGCGATTGCTGGTTTAAGAACAACACGTACTATTAATGTACAACAAATACTCGTGTTATGATGAAGACATATCGCGATGTAATAGACACGAACATAAATTGATAAATTGAATATTTCGTTAGCGATAGCTTATAATATTTTTAGGCAGACATATATTATAAGAAAAAAATATGTCGACAAATGATGTTATTTTTATTTTTTAACAAGTATTACACTAAGTATATAATAGTCGGCTATGATTAATTATTGCTCATTTTAGAATATTAATAATAAGAATGACCAACAAAAAAAAAAAAAATGTTATAAAATGTACCTATAATTATTTTTTCATTATTATTAACCAATCGCATGTGACCAATTTCAAAGACCAAAATTTACTACAGTATGCCCGTAGGGTACAGTATTATCCGCTAGTGGGATGTTCACGCCAACCATAACATATTTACGCCTACTATAAGAACATATTTTAAAATATAATAAATGAAAAAATATATATTATCATAATATATAAACATTTACAATAACATTTTATATAAACGACGTCGTGGGATTAAAAACTTTAGCAATAATCTGAATATATATATATGCGAGGGTGGTACACGCGACACTCACGACGCACCCGACATCCCTGACCTAAGAATTTTACGGGAGTGAGAAAGGTTGAGGGGATGAGAAAGTGGAAGACCGAAGCGACGTGGTACATAAAGTGAAAAAAGTGGGTAAGTGGACGTCGCTCTACCGTAAAGTAGGTTACAAGTGGGCTACTGTAATGAATGGTATTAAATTTGAATTCAGTGATATAATATCATTGTATACGAAAAACGGTTTGTCAGCCTAAAGGATATGTTATGCTATTTTATTAATTATATTGTTATTATTTCATTAAAAAAAAAAATTAAAATTAAATCTATAAAATACATTCTAAATCAGATTCACTATGTACCCGACACACTCAGTCATTCATAGTAGGTATATACAATTTAAAGTACCCACGAATAATATTTTTAAATTACAATATAACTAAAAACTAAAATTATTATTCTTGATTATTTAATATGTAATTTCATCTAAATTTAAACTTAAGATAACTATTAAAAAAACTGTCTTTATATAGTTTTTAGATTTTTTTTTTTGCAGCAAAATCAACTACTTACGTGAACCTTGTTTTAAATTTTCAATCCTGAGCTATAAAATTTAAATTTTTTATAACTTTTTAACAACCAAAGAATTTGTAAATATTCAATTAAATAAATGTCAAAATTTGAACTTTAAATGGTTATAAAAAAAAAACGTGCCTATGCATTTTTAATATTTTCCAACTAATATTATATAAACTTATGAGTTATACATATATGGGGAACTTTGTATTAAATTTTCAAGTTTTATGACCCAATGAATGACATTTTATCGACATTCGTAGAATAATAAATTAAAAAAACGGAAAATTCCAAATGTCTACAAATAATAAAATTAAAAATTGTTGAAATATATTGGAAATTTTATCAAGTATAGGAATTGATAAAACAAACATATGGAGTAAATCTCAAGTTTCTACAGCTATTCGTTTTTGAATAACAACAAAATAAGAATATCGGTGCAAGAGAAATTGAGTAATTGAGTGAATATCCAATGTTGTAATTCAAATGCTTATAAAAATTTAATTTGACTTTCCGGTGGACATTTTTCATTTTATGAAGATAGAAAAACTTATGAAGAATCTTGTATTGAATTTTCGAAACTCAAATTTAAAAAGATAATTTTTTATGAATTTTTAACTCAAAATAAATTGCAAATTGTTGAGATTTTGTAAGTATTGCTCAAATAAGGATCTAAAATCAAACAACGATTGAAAACCATGTGCGTCTTCATCATTATTGTTATAATACCGGAAGTTATATCCAGATTCATGGGAGGGGGAGGGGCAAGGGCCACCACATAATGGATATTTCTTATATATCCTAATATGAAACATAATAAATTAGAATTGATGATAGTACAAATGTTCAATCATAAAATTATTAGTGTTCAATTTTCATTATTATCAATATTGTGATGATAAATCAATGATCACAAAAAATAAATGCATCCAAGCAAGTAAAAATAAAAATAAAAATATTTTGTAACCGACAGTTATAGGAAGGACTGGTAATATAACCTGGATATGATCTGGAATTCGACATAAGCTAGCTGCAGCATGGTTTCAGAAAATTAAATTTTCAAATAGTCTAAATTTATATTTTTTGATACAAATGTTTGAATGGTATCATCATTTAAATTATTATTATTATTATTATTTTTATTTTTATTCATATAATTTAATGTTTATAATATAGTTAAATTGTTTTTCAGTGAATTATATAATATCGTAGTACTTTTAGGTGTATGCTATCGGTTAGGTTAGAATAGCGGTTCCCTGACCCATGGGCCGCGAGCCATAATAGGTATAATATTAAATTTTTTAAATTTTTTATTCCTAATAACTATATACACATGTATATATGCTATAATTTTATGAAAACGTATATGTATAGGTATGCTATGAGTGGGCCTCAAATATTTTTTACAAAATTATAGTGGTCCGCGAAACTAAAAAGGTTGGGAACCGCTGGGTTAGAATATACAAGTGGTTGAAAAACAATGGCCACCATTGAGCCCTGCAAAACCTTTGCGTTCCTAAATCTTGACCTATAAAATATTGTGAGAGCTATAGAGTGGGTTGTTAGGGATGAGAAAGAATAAGACCCGAGCAGCGTGTGGTACATTACGACGGCGGCGAAAAAACAAACCACGAAGAACAACTGGGCTGACCGTGTTATTGTTACCAGTACCTAGGTACTGGGCCACGAATGTATATAGACTACATAGACAGTTGCGGCGCCGGTAATATACTAAGTGTGTATTATATGAGCACAAAAATGAACGAAAAAAAACCACGAAAAATCGATGGTCGCGTGAAAACAAACATGGTTTGTGTCTGTGTGTACATAACGTAATTACAATATATTATTTTAAAATATGATTTTTTTGTGCCCTGGACGGACACACGAGAATCGTCTTCTGGCACGCCGACCTGCGGTCATCGCGGCCCGAAAGCGCATTTGCATAATAATCGTGCGCAGAACCACGCGACGGCATATTATATGCCGCCGCGTGTATGGAATAATAACGATAACGATAACGACGATGATAATAATAATAATATTAATAATGATGATGATAATGATATTATTACCGTCACGTTTTGTGACAACCGACGTCATCGTTATTCGTTTACTATTAAAATACAATTTTAATTATTCTAGCTAATAATAATATTATATTATGATTTTAAAATTAACAACCGCTGTAGTTACTGAACAACCAGCAAAGCTCCGTTATTGTTAGTGCTTCACTATATAATATTATTACGTCTGAAATCATTATCCCCCAGATAACCCTAAGAAAAAGATCGAAACGCTGTAGGAATTGTGGTGTAGTTAGTTAGTTGTCATCTGTTTTAGGTATATAAAAAAAAAAATAAGAAGAAGAAGAAATTTACTATTTAGTCGTTACACGTTTTTTTTTTTTTAATACCATTTTTTATTATACCTAATAATTTCAAAACTGAGTAGGTACCTATCATTAAAAAATAATATGTTGGAATTTCGAGATTTATTTTTAACAATATCGAGAAATTTTTCAGTTCTGTAACAGATGGGCCCCACGAGAGATAATGTCAAACATTATCATCGTCATCGTCATCGTCATCGTCTTCCTATTATTATGATGAATGGGATGTGTGGTGTGGTGTGTTGGATTGGGGGGGGGAGGGGTGAGGGCGATTGAGTTGACGGTGACACGGTGATGGACGTACGTGTCTGTGGGCGAATCCCTGTTGGCCAACCGCTGTCTCTCCACGAACCGGGCGGCCACAGTCCTGGAATCGTCGCCGAACCCGTAAAGTCCAGCCACCGCGGCCATGCGGCACTGCGTCCGGCGGCGCCCGCACCGCCGCCACTATTGCCGGTCGTCTGGTTTTTAATTTTTTTTTCCGCCTTTTCCGTCGCTTGACGCTACAGCATAATATTTTGTAACACCTCGCCGCCGTCAGTCGTCCGGCACTCGCACAGCTACCGGTGGCAATGATTGCGATCGAGATGACGTCGCGCGCGCCCGTCCGATACGACCCCGCGACAGCGATATTATTATGTACTATGCGACAACGGCGGTATGACGACGGCGGATACGACAACGCGAGACCGCCACGACCACGACCGGTGTTGTTGTACCGCGGTGACCGAGGTTACCACTGGCCATCGCCGTCAAAATATAATGATATTATATTATTAAGTGGGTTAAGAAACGGATGTATTATATATATGATGATGATAATAATAATAATAGTGATAATAATTATTTTAATATAATGTTATGTTTAATGTGCGTTCGTGACTGTACCGGACAGACGACGACGACGACGACGACAACGACGACGACGACAACGATGACGACGACTACGACAACGACAGTCGCGCGGACGGCAAGCAACAAGCTCGTTGAATCCCGCCAAAACGGACAATGCCATCGCCGCCGCCGCCGAGACGTGTTCGCGCGCGCAGCTGTCGCGGTGTCAGTCTCGCCCCTCCCCTCACCGCTACGGACTCTCTCGACTACCTCTCCCTCACTCCGACCACTAACGCCACCGCGCGACCAACCCCCTTAAACCCACCCTCACCCACATCCCTTTGCAAACCACCCCCCTACCATAACACACGCGCACACACTCGCAACGCCACGCTTGAAAACCACCCCTCACTCCAAAGTCCATCCGCCTTCCCTGCGTCGCGTATTATACATAATAATATGGGCTGTATTATCAGAGTTGGTGATGCCTACGTCGCCGACGACAAATCACTGCACGACGGTTGTTCGTTGCTTATATCACCCAGCATATAATGTATGTACGTCATGTATTGTGTGTGTATAATGTGTATAGTGTCTGTAAGCACGCGCGTTTCAATTAGTAGACACCAATCATTATCGTATATATGCATATATACACATACGGATAACGAGTGACAGAGAAAGAGTGAGAGTGAGAGAGAGAGAGAGAGAGTGAGAGAGAGAGAGAGTGAGAGAGAGAGGAGGAAGAGTGAGGACGTAAAGCACATATTTTTTCGAATGTGTGTGAAAGACAAAAAAATAAGTATGTGCCTACTGATTATAACATATTTCGATATGATAATATTATACATTGCATCATAAAAATGACAGACGGATCGTAACGTATGAGAGACTTTGTATGCTTGGAGAGTTTTTAATTTATGGGTTTTGTGAGATTCTTGTGCTCTATAAAAATAGAACGTGTAGGTAATGAAAAAAAAAATTAAATCTTAAGGACATCTTTTATTAAGATGTTTAACTCTCTCTTATTATAGGTACAGTACGTTAATTAAACAACCGTACAAACTTTAATGTCACACACTCACACAACTTTATCGTTTGGCCTTAAAATGTATAATATTAAAGTCGCATTTCAGTCAAAATATAGCTATGCAGAATTTAACATCGAATTTGGTCATCACAACCATATTGTGATAAAAGTTGCCTCGGATAATTTACTGTATTAATATAATATTATCAGCAGCGCACTGAGGTATTTTGGCAGCACGTGCGGTTAAAAAGAGTTACCCATCAGCTACCTATTTCGTTTTCAATTAAAAAAAAATATTCTTTATGCACTTTACTCAACCGTGCACTTACACTCAATTTATTCAATATAAATTATACTAATATACTTATTTATTAAATCACCGTAATTCCTGGAAATTAATTATTATTATAGACTACCTATATTAGTGTATTTTATAAATGTATAAACTAACCTGTGGCACCAGTAGTTTACAGTGTTTACACCCACCCTCACCCACTCGAGAGCACATAGTTTCAGTACTTGTCACTTGTCAACTTGTCTGGGCATCACTGAAAATGACCATAATTGCCTGGCCGTACTTATTTGCACTGCATTAAATTCATTTTATTGAACATTCTTAATCTTATATGAGATTTCCATTCTATATCATGTATTATACACTATAAATCATATAACAAAGCGTTAACACAACAGCTGAATGTCAGTAGTGTTTGGTGTTGTTGCGAACGTAGGGAGTTTGTGTGTTATATATACATTTAAAGTTTGTATACTATAGTTGGTAGAGTCTAGAACCGTACATTTATACTGGAGAATATTATATTATTTAAGACTTGGATGTGGGGGAGGGGGGTTGAATCCTAACCATAACAATAATGAATAAGTTTTAAAACAATTCAGAAAATGTTTAGTGGGGCTATTGAAAATAGACCTTAAAGCCCTTACCCCTTACCTTATTTGCTCTTGTGCGTGGTATGTAAATGTGCACAAAAATGTAAAAAGGAAATGGGTCTGATATGATCTGATTTAAATGCTAGTGAGTTGTGTTAAATAATGTTGGCTACATGTGGATAGTCCTTTTTAGTATGCGAAATATGATACGCGATGTAGAGGATAATATTTTTCGAGGGTCAAGTTTTTTATTAATATATATTTTTTATTGCTCTTCAGAATACAATCCTTATTAATGGGTGTATGCGTTTATTTAGGAACACCGAAACCCCCCATATAAAAAATAAGTTAAGAGCGGTCGTCAACAAATTGTTTGAATACGCGCGGGCATCGTTAAAATGATAAATTCGTATATTATAGGGTTAGGTGTAGGGCGGATCAATAATACAACGATGAATTACCTCGTCATTCACTATAAATTATAGCGTAATAGTAAGTAGGCATAATATTTAACCATGTAACACATTAAATATGTTCGGAAGCGTTTCGGTACGTTTGCTGTGCTCAACACTTGTCTAGACGTAATAAAATGCGAAATTCGTCCGATAATTATTATCACGATCGCATTAATATAACGCTGATTAAGTCACTACGCCGTTGATTTTCAACCTATGCAAAACGTATTCACGGTTCACACCCATCTCGAGACATAAATTGATATACTGCTGTCAATATATATTATAATATTATGGACCGACCGTGCGAACTTGCTACTGGCTAATTTGCGAGCTCAAAGTATCGACACATTCGACACCGTTATAGTCTGTAGAGGACTGTAATAATATATATTAAAATATTTTAACGCTTCTTATTATACACGAAGAACATATTAAGTAATGAAACCATAAAAGATGTACATAATGCTTGGTGTTTGATGTGAGGAAATAACGTCAATACGTCAATACGTCATACGTCACCTGTTTTCGAGCACATATTTCACCTGAATACCAGCATTTAATTTTCTTGAAAAATGCAATATAATATTAGGTACCTATCTAATTTGTAACAGTAAAATTTAAAAATATATAAAAAAAATTTTTAGAAAAAAAAAGAATTTATTGACTTGACACAGTACATGGGATACTATTTATATAAATGCATTATATTATGCATAGACTAATATCTAAATTTAGTTTTACTTAATATACTGTTGAACGTATAATATGTTCCGAATAATGAATAGTGCAAGCAGGGATGACTACACTACTATGTATATAGTTTGTAAATAAAAAATAATGATTATTGATTTTTTAATGATTAGGAGCAAGTTTCATAAAATACCCCTTTTCATACTCGGTATATTACAAATAAAAGAAAGAAAAAAAATTAATAACACGACGGCATGATGACTTAATAATATGGTTCATTGCGTGGTCATAGGCGTAGGTTTGAGTAAATAATTCGTCCGTGAATAATAAATATCAAGAAGAAAAACAAAATGGCATTTACGAAGTGAGTTATTTTTCGTTTATTAACAACTACACCTTAACATTATTTACATAGTCCGCACTCCGCGATAATGCGAATTTACTGCGACGAAAGTTAAAGTCCGAGTTATGGATATTATTATGTAATTTTTACCGTTGCTATTTATAATATATTTTGTAATTCTTGTGGGGATTACCATAAGTACTCGAAGGCTCGAATCTAATAGGAAAATAATATGAATTACGACGGTATTTACTGTGTCACGTGCAGCAGATCGTCCACGATACGCGCGAATAGTGTGTAGACCAGAAATAAAACGGCAACTTTTAGTCATACAAGATGAATGATTTCAAACGGGTACGGTTTCTTATTCTTGCGTTTTAGTATTTGTCTTCTAAACTTTTGACAGTTTTCATCGTTGCAAAATTGGATTATCAAACTCTGAAACAAAGTCGAGTGAATACACGGTACACTTCAAAATAAATGGTTTAACGCCGGCTATACACTAGATGGCCTCGCTGTAGCACAGTATATGGATGGGATGTATGACGTGTGTTGTACGTCCGGGCAAGATGCTACTAAGTATGTATTTAGTATCTAATTCATTGAAACTCAAATTCTTGAATATTAATAAGAATGAACAATAACTTTGCGTTTAATTACCATATTATTCTTAGTTCTTAGCGTTCTAAACACACGAACACAATGACACCCGTATTGTTATTGTTCTATATGGAAAGTGTTTGCACACGGTTATGCGAAATGTTTGAACGACTTTATAATACGCAAGTTTGTAGTAGACAATTCATTATTATTCACGACACGCAATTTTCGATATCACTTTATGAGGTCAAAGAAGGAGTTAATATGTTGAAATTGATGACTTATACGATCGAACATGACGCTTTTTTAATACCCTGTGTATGTGTACCCTCAAATTTATATTTTAATTGAAACGTTTGAAGAATAACAATCAGGTTTAAATTAATAATTTTGTTGTTTTTTAAAATATATTTTAATGAGCGTCATTTTATTATTATGATCTACTGCAAACGGTAGTATTTAGATACATAATCATTACCACTCATTTAGTAAAAATGCCCACAGATCAATCACTGAAAATTATTTGCTGATACATTAAAACAGGACCCGATTTATGATTGATATTTATCACATAATATATTTTTATTTTTTTCTATCAAAATGTTTATTTTAAACAGGAATTTTACTAAACGGATAACACTATTACTAAACAAAATATCAATTAAGTAGATAAAAAATATTTTATGTTTTTTAAATAATAATGTAATTAATTAGATTTTACGTCGTTGTAAGTTTGTATAGATGATTTGTTAAACGGATGTCTAACTACGTCAAAATTAAAAATTATTCAACATTTGGCTTTACCATTTTCAATGCAGCTTGCGACACCAAACATTATATCTGTAAGTTGAAATTTAAAGTTATTTCAATAAAATATTAATTATTACTGATCAAAAGATACGGTTATTTATTTATATTAATTTTTAAATAATGAGTTTATTAATCAATATATTGTGTAAGAAATTTTTGTTATACAACCGCTGTTTACACTTAGTGTGACTTTGGGTCAATATAGTATAATCTAAATATTTATATTTTAAAAGCTAAATACGTCCCCACATAATCCATTGCTTTAAACAATTTAATATTTTATGTCGGTTGTAAATAAATTCAGACTTTTATGTTT